AGCCAAAGTCAGGTGCTCAACTGACTGAGCCACCCAGGTGCCCCTCATTAGTTCTTATTTTTCATCTCCCGGCCCCTTCCAGACATTCAAGGCCCTGGTTTTTGGAATTAGTGTCCCAAGAATCATTTTAACAAGTGGTCAACTGCCCACCCTCCATCTCAGAAATTCTGATTGTGGGAATTTACAGTAGGCCCGTGAATGTGCATTTTTCACAGACTCTCTGGTATCATAATTAAAGAAATGTTTCTTGATTGGTGACAGAAATTTTATCTTATTGTTCACCCTTTTGACTTCTCTGTAGGTTAAGAAAACTTAGTTTCAGACCTGGAAGAAGGTGTAGGATATCTAAATCCCCTTTTGTACCCTTTTGCAATGATCATGTACATTTTTCATTAGCTGTGTTTGGTATATTTTGTACAGTATTTAAGTTATCTCAGATCTCTATGAGAATACATATTTCAATTTTACTCTTGCCAGTCAGTCTGCTTATTTCCCATTGAAAATCATGTTTGAAAAAAAACATTTAAGATTTTATTTTTAAGTAATCTCTACACCCAACATGGGCCTCAAATTCATAACCCTGAGTTCAAGAGCCACACACTCCCCTGACTGAGCCAGCCAAACTCCCCATGTTTGAAATATTTAATAAATGTGTTTGGTTCAGTCCTACAAGAGTTTTCTTTTATAGGCCAAGTAGTGGTTCTTATAGCAAGTATTTTATTTGAATAATCAAATTTTAGCCCTTTCTGAAAAAGTTACCTAATATTAAAATACCTCATTCTTTTCATGACAAATTAAATAGGGTGATCACTTATTAAAGATTATATTTAACAATTTTGTCCTGCAGTTGGAAGAAAATTGCCTACAATCTATTTTGTCCTTCATTCCTTCATGAGAAGGGCAGCACAGAGTATTCTCTTCAGATAGGACATAGATAAGTTTTCTTTATTAGGTGAGATCATCTCAGATGATCTCTGTTACCACATTTTCACAGTGCAACAAAATTTGTAACAAAAATATTTTTTAATTGTTTTTTTACATTTATTTATTTTTGAGAGACAAAGAGAGATGGAGCACAAGTTGGGGAGGGGCAGAGAGAGAAGGAGACACAGAATCCAAAGCAGGCTCCAGGCTCTGAGGTGTCAGCACAGAGCCCGACGCGGGGCTCCAACCCACAAATCGCGAGATCGTGACCTGAGCCGAAGTCAGACGCTCAACCGACTGAGCCACCCAGGCGCCCCTGCAGCAAAAATAATTTTGAAGTAATGTTCAAGACACCAGTTTCGGGGCTCCTGGGTGGCTTAGTTAGTTGAGTGTCTCTTGATTTTGGCTCAGGCCATGGTCCCAGGGTCATGGGATCAAGTCCTGTGTCGGGCTGAGTGTGAAGCCTGCATCAGATTCTCAGTCTCCCTCTGCCTCTCTCCCCCACTCACATCTCCCTCTCCCTCTAAAGTAAAGGTTAAAAGTTAAAAAGAAAGACAATCAGTGTCATTTGCTCACTTTTATTCTATGTTTCATCAAAAACAGAAAACTGCCTAACCATATTTATAAATTATAAATTACATTTGTTGCAAATAGATTTTGAAGTTCCTAAGTACTTTTTGGTCAGTGAGTCACTGTATAGTCATGAAATTGATAGCTTTAATGATTTTATATATTTTTTAATGTTTATTTTGAGAGAGAGAGTATATATACACAAGTGTGCAAGAGTGAGTGAGGGGGAGGAGCAGAGAGAGGGGGAAAGAGGGAATCCCAAGCAGACCTGAGCTGAAATCGAGTTGGACGCTTAACCAACTGAGCCACCCAGACACCCAATATCACCCAGTTTATGATAGTGATAAAGTGACTTTATAGAGCAGGTGAAAAAAATTAATACTCACCAGTCATAAATCTAATCTTTGTTAATATACATTACATATTGCTTAACAGAGGTATAAATTCTAGGCATTACTTGACTCAGGCTGTTGATGCACAACTTGAATTGAGCTATTTTTTTTAAATTTTTTAATATTTATTCATTTTTGAGAGACAGAGAGCGCGAGTGGGGGAGGGGCAGAGAGAGAGGGAGACACAGAATCTGAAGCAGGCTCCAGGCTCTGAGCTGTCAGCACAGAGGCCGATGCGGGCTCGAACTCACGAACCATGAGACCATGACCTGAGCCGAAGTCAGACACTCTACCGACTGAGCCACTTAGGCACCCCTGAATTGGGCTGTTTTTAAAGGAAATGACTTCCTTATCACTAGCATGTTCAAATGTTGGACCAGATGACCCTTTAAGCTTCTTTACAGCATAGAGCTTTTGTAATTCATATTTTGTATATATCTATATATGGGCATGGTACACTTTAACTATAAGAATCTTGGGGCGCCTGGGTGGCGCAGTCAGTTAAGCATCCGACTTCAGCCAGGTCACGATCTCGCGGTCCGTGAGTTCGAGCCCTGCGTCAGGCTCTGGGCTGATGGCTCAGAGCCTGGAGCCTGTTTCCGATTCTGTGTCTCCCTCTCTCTCTGCCCCTCCCCCATTCATGCTCTGTCTCTCTCTGTCCCAAAAATAAATAAACGTTGAAAAAATAAAAAATAAAAAAAAAAAAAAAAAAAAAAAAAAGAATCTTAACATATGTATCTTGGGACACCTAGGTGGCTTAGTCCATTGAGCCTCCCAATTTCGGCTCAACTCATGATCTCACAGTTCGTGGGTTTGAGCCCCTCATTGGGCTCACTGCTGTCAGAACAGAGCCTGCTTTGGATCCTCTGTCCCCCCCCCCTCTCTCCACCCCTCCTCCCATTCATGCTCTCTCTCAAAAAAATAAATAAACCTTTAAAAAATATTTGTATCTTTGCAATGGCAGTTCAACAGTAACCATTTAAAATATATCTGAGTTCCTACTGTGTGCCAGGCATTACGCTGCGTGATGAGTTCTGAGAATATGGCAGTAGACAAGGCCCTTCACCTCCCAGAATTCCATACATTTTTAAGGAACTTCATGGAAAAATTTGAAGCAGTTTGAAAATCATCCATCAGATCATTTATTAAGTTCCTTTTTTCTTTTCATTTAAAAAATTTTTTTATTATTTATTTTGAGTGAGTGAGAGAGAGAGAGAGAGAGAGAAAACACAAGCGGAGGAGGGCAGAATCCCAAACAGACTCTATGCCATCAGCTCAAAAGTCACAAACTGCATGACCTGAGCCGAGATCAAGAGTCGGACACTTAGCCAAATGAGCCACACAAGGGCCACTCCTTTTTTATTGTCTTTCTCTTTAAAAGGCGGTTATGGATAGTTAAGATGTATCTTTATTTTAAGAAACACTGAGGGACATTAAATCTTCACCTGTATTTAACCCTGTTTAAGCTTAGAGTAATAAATAATTGTAAAATTTATCTTCACTAAGTATAGGTATTTCTGAGTGACATTGAGTAGTATAGAATTTCATTTTCCTGCCCAAAATTTCTTATCTATATGGTAGGAAGCTTCCCATTCTTTCTTCCTCACTCCCTCTCTTCCTAATGGGTACCATATAGATACATTTAGGAAAAAAACAGACACATTGTCTATAGCAATAAGGCTTATATGATCTGAATGAGTGTGTTAAATGAGTACGTTTAACTTGAATACAAGACTAACTTATTAAAGACTAATCAAATCATATACATATTAAAGACTAATCAAATCATATAATCAGATCATAAAAAAATTGAATTCCTTATTTTTCTATATTAGAATCCATTAAGAAGAAGTAAAATATACCCAGATCCAATATACTTGATCTGTCTGGTAGTGATACCTAAATAAGGTAATGATATTAATATCTTGTTATTTCCTGTAGAAGTATTCTTACTTGAGAACAATTGAATAGCTTTAATTGTGCACTGTAGATAGGAACGGCTGCACAAAAATTTTAGATGGAATTATATATTGTTATTGATATTAATTTAAACATTTTCTAGGTCATTAATGATCCTATCCATGGCCACATTGAACTCCACCCTCTCCTCATCCGAATCATCGACACACCTCAATTTCAGCGGCTTCGATATATCAAACAGTTGGGTGGCAGTTACTATATTTTTCCAGGCGCTTCGCACAACCGATTTGAGCACAGTCTAGGGTAAGAAGGCAGTTGATGGGGAATTTACAGTTATTTAAGTACTTTCCTTATCTTATGAAATAATGATCTTTTAGAGCATAGTTTTACAAAATGGTAATAATATCCATATTTTGTTGAGAAAATTGAGGCTTTGATTTACCTTGCTATATTTTATGTATTTAAAAAAAATTTTTAATGCTTATTTATTTTTGAGAGAGAGAGAGACAGAGCATGAGTGGGGGAAGAGCAGAGAGAGACAGAATCCAAAGCAGGCTCTAGGCTCTGAGCTGTCGGCACAGAGCCCAATGTGGGACTTGGACTCACAAACCTCAAGATGATGACCTGAGCCAAAGCCAGACGCTTAACCAACTGAGTCACCCAGGCGCCCCTATTTTATGTACTCTTATAAGCCAATTCAGATCCTCACTGGAAAGATAATGAAAGTATCTATTGACAGGCCATTTCGATGACATATTTGTTTAAACATGGGTTGGTTACTGATATAACTAATGTTGTAAATTTTATTATTTAATTTTCCTGTTTAGTCTTATAAAGAATTGCCCTTTGAAACCAGATAATATTCTTAAAAAAAAATTTTTTTTAACATTTATTTATTTTTGAGACAAAGAGAGAGCATGAATAGGGGAGGGTCAGAGAAAGAGGGAGACACAGAATCTGAAACAGGCTCCAGGCTCCGAGCTGTCAGCACAGAGCCCGACGCGGGGGGCTCGAACTCACACACCGTGAGATCATGACCTGAGCCGAAGTCGGATGCTTAACCGACTGAGCCACCCAGGCGCCCCGAAACCAGATAATATTCTTAACCTAGTAGGAAATGTGTAAATCAGAAGAGCATTCACAAGCGTAGAAAAGGTGGCACCTCTGTTACAAACAACTAGTTGAGAATTTGGTCTGCTTTTCCATTATAGAATCTAGAACCAGGAGAACATGGGCTGGGGTGGAAAAAACTAGACAGTTTTCTAGGTTTCATGGACTACTCACACTGTTTTACATTTGTTTGTTTGTTTTGAAGTGTGTGTGTTTTGTTTTTGAAGTGTTTTTAATTAGCCAGAAGACAAGTGTCTATTCAGATGTTTATTCATTCATCAGCAAATATTTATTGAAAACTTACTAGGCCCTACCAGACCAAGGTAGCAGTTGTCCCAGCTTTGTGGAGTTAGGGTTTAAGCAGAGAAAGAAAGATACTGTATTCACTCAGGAATTACTTTCTGAGGGAAGTGCTAAAAGTGCATTTAACATTTGTTGGGCACTTTATCTTCAATCTATGTTATAAAACCAGAAGTCCTGCTTTTTTGAAAAAAAAATTGTGGTAAAATACACAGGATATAAAACTTACCATCTTAACCATTTTTAAGTGTACTTCAATAGTGTTAAATATATCCATATTATTGTGCAACCAAACTCCAGAACTTTTTCATCTTGCAAAACTGAAACTCTTCTCCATTAAATAACAATTCCTCATTCTCTTCTCCCTCTAGCCCCTGGCTATCACCATTCTGCTTTCTGTTTCTATGAATTTGACTACTCTAGGTACCTCATACAGTAGTTATCTATTTGTGACTGGCTTAATTCACTTAGCATAATTTTCTCAAAGTTCATCTATGTTAGAGCATGTGTGAGAATTTCCTTCTTTTTTAAGACTGAATAATATTCTTTTGTATGTTTATACCACATTTTGTTTATCCCTTCATTTGTGAGAGGACATTGGGTTGCTTCTACCTCTTTGACTTTTTTTTGAGAAAAGTTTTTTTTTAATGTTTATTTTATTTTTGAGAGACAGACAGAATGTGAGTGGGGGCGGAGCAGAGAGAGAGGGAGACACAGAATCTGAAGCAGGCTCCAGGCTCCAAGCCCTCAGCACAGAGCCTGACGTGGGGCTCAAACTCATGAACCATGAGATCATGACCTAAGCTGAAGTAGGACGCTTAACCAACTGAGCCACCCAGGTGCCCCATGAACTGCGAGACCATGACCTGAGCCAAAGTCGGACGCTTAATCAACTGAGCCACTCAGGCGCGCCTGAAAAAAGTTTTTATTGCAAGCACAGTGAGCATAAGGAGACGTCTTCTCACATGATGTGGGCACAAGGTCTGCCATTAACTAAATCTCTTTGGCAACCCTTTATTGGTTTAAATCATATTAATTAGCTTCTTGCTATCAGGTGTACATCATTTCTGCCATGTGGGGCATTTTCTTGGGAATATATAAGTAGTATTCCATGTAGCCTGACAAATCCTCAATGATCACATCATCCACTTAGACTTGGGCTTGCCCAGAACAGGAGCAGGGAGAGCCAGACAGAGTTCTGGTGCAGAGTGACTGAGTGCTGCTAGGAACATGGGTGTGCTTATACCTCTTTGAGACACTGCTTTCAGTGTTTTTGGTTATATACCGCGAGTGGGACTGCTGGATCATATGTTAATTCTAGTTTCAATTTTTTGAGGGACCACCATATTGTTATAGCAGTTGCACCATTATACATTCCCAACAGCAGTGCACGAGGTTCCAATTTTTCCACATCCTGCTCAACATTTGTTTTTTTGTTTTTTGTTTTGTGTGTGTTTGTGGGGGGGGTTTGTTTGTGTTTTGTTTTGTTTTATAGCTTTTCTAATGAGTGTGAGGGGGTATTTCATTGTGGTTTTGATTTTGCGTTTCCCTAATAATTAACTGATTGTGAGCCAATAGGTCCTGCTTTGAGGATTCTATTTGTGTTTCTGCCTAGTTCTCAAACCGACTATTCTGTTAACTTGTTGTAGAAATACATTAAAACATTTGAGAAACATATTAGAATTCTTGAGTTCCAGAAGTATCATCTTTCAAATGGAAGAGTGACTTTATGTTGTTTTGTTTTGCTTACTCTGCAGCGTAGGGTATCTAGCAGGATGTCTTGTTCGTGCACTGCGTGAAAAACAACCAGAGCTGCAGATAAGTGAACGGGATGTGCTCTGTGTTCAGATTGCTGGCCTTTGTCATGATCTCGGTATGCTGTACAAAGAACCAAAGTTGTTAACATAAAACCATAACAAGTTATCTCTTTTTGGAATTAAAAAATCTAATAATGGAAAGAAATATGAAAGTTGTGTTTAGCAAATTTTTTTAATGTTTACTTATTTTTGAGACAGAGAAAGACAGAGCATGAACGGGGGAGGGTCAGAGAGAGTGAGACACAGAATCTGAAGCAGGCTCTGGGCTCCGATATGTCAGCACAGAGCCCGACACGGGGCTCGAACTCACGGACTGTGAGATCATGACCTGAGCCGAAGTCAGATGCTTAAATCGACTGAGCCACCCAGGCGCCCCTGAAAGTTGTGTTTTAATTCTGCAGTTAACATTAATATAAATGTGCCATTGCTTCTTCCTAGAATGATTCATAAGCTCAAAGCTTTGCTATTATTTTTTGTGGTCTTTAAATGTATTTCCCACATTAAACAATTTTGCTACAAGTTATATGAAAGGACTTTTTTTTTTTTTTGGATATTTACATTTTTAATTTTTTTATTTAAAAAAAATTTTTTTAGAGACAGAGAGTGTGAGGAGCTGGGGGTGGGGAAGAGGGAGGGAGGGAGAGAGAGAGGGAGAGAGTGAGAGAGACAGGGAGAGAGAGAGAATCCCAGGCAGGCTCCATGCTGTGGAGCCCAATGTGGGGCTTGATCCCACAACCCTGGGATCATGAGCTGAGCTGAAATCAAGAGTAGGACACTCAACTGATTGAGCTACCCAGGTGCCCCAAAAGGACCTTCTAATAGTGAGATTTTTGACTACTGTATTTAGGATGATAGGAGTTTATCTTTCCTTTATTCTTTTTGTTGCCATTTTCTGTCAGTTACTTCATCAAATTCATTCTTCTCATACCTAAAATACATAATCTTCCCTAGCAGATTAACAACACATTTAGAGAACTCCTTTTCTCTCCTGACCCATGTGAGGTCTTAGACCACTTTAATCCAAGTAGAATATCATCCTTCTTTGACAAAGAAAGAGAAAAGACAGGTGCCTGCGTGGCTCAGTTGGTTAAGCGTCCAACTCTTGATTTTGGCTCAGGTCATGTCATTATCTCACTGTTTGTGAGCTGAGCTGGGCTCCACACTGGGCATGGAGCCTTCTTGGGATTCTCTCTCTCCTCTCTCTGCCCTCCCCCTGTGCATATGCGCTCTCTCTCAAAATAAATAAATAAACTTAAGAGAGAGGGAGAGACTGTCCTCTTTTTTACAGGAGTTTTCAACGCCATGTCTTTGTAGTTTATTCCTACCTATTGGAGGATCCTGAGAGTTTGTGTGTGCCCTGAGGGTAGAGAAAGGGAGGTATCTGTGTTTGAACAGCCAGATTCTCAAGGGGATAAGGCACTCTCTTTAGCATGTCCCCTTGGAGATTTCAGCAGGACCAGTACCACTCCTAGATGATAAATTTAACAGATTCTAGAGGGGATCATTGGGAAACTTTGTCAGTGTCTAGGAGTCTGAGCACTGCATTAATGAGCCTTTTTCTATAGACTGTGACATGCAAAAAGGCCCAGGGCTGGTCCCGGTGGGGTCCCTCTTTAGCCAAGTAACTCACTTCAGAAATTCTGATAATTACAGAGTTGTGTGTCAACAAAGTTTCATAGGATTAAATGAGTGGAATGTTAAAATCACTTATGAATAAGATAAACTAGTGATCTCCACTTTTGGTTGCCCACATCAGCAGTAAAAACCCAAGCGTGTATATTTATTATAAAATGTATTATGTAAATTATACAATTTACATGAAAATAAATGTTTTTAAAAGGATGAGAGTAGAAAAATAAAGTTTTATTATTTTCTTCCTCCACCTCAGTGGATGATCTTAAAATGACTATTCTAATATAAATATTCAATCTGAAGATGCCAAAGTTTTTCATTAATATTCCTTTTAGTTACACAGAACTGTCCTTTCATCAGATGTATGTGAGCTCTGACGACTCAAAGACCCCTCCATGGGCAGTTCACTTTCCTATATGTTTTTGTTTCTTATTTTCTTGTTTTAGAAAATAGGAAGGAAGGATTTTTGTTCCTCTTTGTAATGTACTTATAAAGTATTAATTTCTGTTGATATTCAGTTTTCGCTAAAAAGAGTAAAAAATAGTTTCACTTTTTACCAGTTTACAAGCAGTTTTAAGACTTTTGTTTTTTTAGGTCATGGGCCATTTTCTCATATGTTTGATGGAAGATTTATTCCACTTGCTCGCCCAGATGTGGAATGGACGGTATGTTTTCATATATTCAATAGTCAATAAAGACTATTTAAGCAACCATTGCTGTGTTATAGTATACTTCCCCATTACAGTTTTCAGGGTGCAATCATATACAAATACATAATGTTTCATTTGATCTCACAGTAGTCTATAAAGGAAGAATCATTATCTCCATTTTTATAAGTGTAAAGGAACTTGAAGCTCACAGAGGTGTATTGAACTGATACACAAAAAAATCACAAAGCTGTTAAAGGGTGGAGCCAGCAGTAGAAAACCAGGTTTTCTAGATGCTAATTTAATGCTTTTACTATTCTATCATATTATTGAAAAGTAAAATAATAGCTAACTCCATTTTTATCATGAAGTAACTGATACCAGCCAAGTTTCATTGTTTATATTAAATGAACCACTTTATTATTAGGGATTTGGAGGTGGCTGACCCATATTTTTTGAATCAGGTTTTGGAAAGTGAAGTTAGGCTGGCTTCCACACAGTATTTCTGGAATCTGGAGTAAAGAATATTAATATGTACTGAATCCTCCTTCCATGTCAACCTCTATTTCCTTCCTTTCTTCCTTCCTTCCTTCTTTCCTTCATTCCTTCCTTCCTTCCTTCTTTCCTTCTTTCCTTTTCTTTCCCTTCCTTTCCTCCTGCCTTCCTCCCTCCCTTCCTGCCTCCTTCCCTCCCTCCTTCCCTCCCTCCTCTCTTTCTCTTCCTTCCCCTCTTCCTTCCTCCCTGTTTCCCTTTCTTTCTTTTTCTCTTTTTCTTTCTTCTTTCTTTCTTTCTTTCTTTCTTTCTTTCTTTCTTTCTTTCTTTCTTTTTCTTTCTTTCTATGTTTTTTTAAAGTAATCTCTACACCTAACATGGGACTCAAACTCATGACCTTGAAATCAAGAGTCATATGCTCTCCCAAATGAGACAGTCAGGCACCCCTATTTTTTTTCTTTTTCTTTTAAAGGAATAATTCAAGGGGCAGCTGGGTGGCTCAGTTGGTTAAGCATCTGACTCTTGATTTAGGCTCACGGTCCATGAGTTCAAGCCCTGCATCGGGCTCTCTGCTGTCAGTGTGGGGCCTGCTTCGGAACCTCTGTTCCCTCTCTCTATATGCCCCTCCCCCACTAGCTTGCTCACTCTCTCTCTCAAAAATAAATAAACATTAAAATTTTTTTTAATTTTAAAAAATAAAGGAATAATTCACATATAGTAAGTTGGTACCAATCTTAATTTTTTTTTAAGTTTGTTTGTTTATTTATCTCAAGTAATCTCTACACCCAACATTGGGTCCAAACTAATGACCCTGAGATCGAGAGTCACATGCTCTACTGACTGAGCCAGCCAGGCACCATGGTTCAGTGAATTTTTACAAATAGATATATCCATGTAATCACTACCCAAGTCAGGATACAAGATGTCTTCATCTTCTTGGAAAATCCCCTTATGCCCCTTCTCAGTCGATGGCTGCTTCTCCCTCATCACCTTCTGATTTTTTTAAATATAGATTAGTTTTGCCTATTCTTAGATTTCATGTAAGTAGAATCATATCATATATACTCTTTAGTGTTTTGCTTTTATTCATACATGATGATTGTGAGATTCTGTCATGTTGCATGCATTACTGTTGATCCCTGCTTATTGCTGAGTAGTATCCCCTTGTGTGAGTAAATTGTGATTTGTTTGTACTTTCCCCTTCAATATAATTTGGGTTGTTTTCACTTTTTGGCTATTACAAATAAGGTTGCAAAACATTTTTATGGGAAATGTTTTCATTTCTTTTAGGTAAAATACCTGAGTAGAATTGCTAGATCATGGAGTAGGTGCATGTTTACTTTGTAAGAAACTGCCAAGGGCATCTAGGTGACTCAGTCGGTTGAGCATCGGTGTCCGACTCTTGATTTAGGCTCAGGTCATGATCTCCCAGTTCGTGGCATAGAGCCCTGCATTGAGCTCTGCGCTAACAGCACGGAGCTTGCTTGGGATGTTCTCTCTTCCACACTCTGCCCCTCCCCGACTTGTGTGCACACGCACCTGCGCGCATTCTCTCTCACTCTCTCTCTCTCTCAAAATAAGTAAATAAACTTAAAAATTAGAAAAAAAAAAAAAAAAAAAGAAACTGCCAGACCTTTCCCCTGTTGTTGTACCATTTTGCCCTCTGTTAGCACTGTGGGAGATTTCCTGTTGTTCTGTAGCTTCATCATTTCATTTTTTAGATTAGCCTTTCTAATGAGTGTGAAGTGGTATTTTGTGGGGTTTTGGGTTTTTGTTGTTTTGTTTTCTTTTTTTTTGGCATTCTCTGATATATGCTGAATACCATTTCCTGTGCTTTGTTTTTTTGTTTTATGTGTGTGTGTGTGTGTGTGTGTGTGTGTGTGTGTGTGTGTGTGTGTGTGTGTGTGTGTGTGTTTTAAGTTTATTTTTGAGAGAGAGAGGAAGTAAGCGTAGGGAAGGGGCAGAGAGAGAGGGCCCCAGACAGGCTCTGCACTGTCAGCACAGAGCTGGATATGGGGCTCGAACTCACAAACTGTGAGATCATGACCTGAGTGGAAATCAAGAGTCTGAGGCTTAACAGGCTGAGCCACCCAGGTGCCCCCCTGTACTTTGTTACTGATGTATCTTCTTTTGTGAAGAGTTCTTTCAACACTTAACCCATTTAAAAAATGTTGTTGTTTGCTTTTTTATTGTTGATTTGATTAATTACTTATATAACTATGTAATAGTATATATAGTAACTATATATATAATGGTCAGATATATGTATTGTGAATATTTTTTCTTCAGTCTCTTACTTGCAAATTCATTCATTCATTTAAGTAATCTCTGCAGCCAATGTGGGGCTCGTACTCACGACTCAAGGTCAAGAGTCACATGCTCTTCTGACTGAGCCTGCCAGGCACCCCTCCAATTCATTAAAAAAAATTTTTTAATATTTATTTATTTTTGAGAGAGAGAGAGAGAGTGAGTGCATGAGTGGGGGAGGAGCAGAGAGAGAGGGAGACACAGAATCTGAAGCAGGCTCCAGGCTCTGAGCTGTCAGCACAGAGCCCGACACGGGGTTCGAACTCATGGACTGGGAGATCATGACCTGAGCCGAAGTCAGACACTTAACTGACTGAGCCACCCAGGCACCCCTCCAATTCATTTTTTTTTTTTAATGGTACTTTTTGAGAAACAAATTTTAAATGTTGATGAAGTATTCTGGTTCTTTAATGAACTGAGATCGATAGTTTCTCTATAGTTTTGCTTCCTGGGAGCCTCATACTAAAGGCCATAAAAGAATTGGAATATTGCCCTGTGCTCTTTTTTTCCAAGTATTAACTTCCTGCTGACATCTGCCTACTTTGGTCGCTCTCCAGTACTTTTAGGAAGTTGTCCAGACTTAACAGTTGTTTTCTTCAGCAAGGCTGATCTAAATAGGATCTACTCAGCCATTTCCATGTCTTTTATTTATATGTTTGACCTTTTGGGGCACCTGGTTGGCTTGGTTGAGCATCGTTATGGGATTGAGCCCCACGTTTGAGTCTCTCTCTCTCTCTCTCTCTCTCTCTCTCCCTCCCTCTCTCTCCCTCCCACCCTCCCTCCCTCCCCCTCCCTCCCTTTCCCCCGCTGCCCCTCTCCCCGCTCTCTCTCTCAAATAATACATACAAACAAATGTACATACATACATACATACCTAGATTTTTAAAAATAATAGATATTTGGCCTTTCACATATAAGTCCTTAACTCATGTGGATTTATTTTTGTGCATGTGCATAGTAGAAATCTAATGTCTTTTTTTAAAACATGGATGATTGTTTACTGAACAGTTCATCCTTTCCTTACTGATCTATAACACACCCCCAACATTTATTAACTTTCCATATATGATGAATCCTTCTGGATTCTCTTCTATTTCACACTTTAATTATTATTACTTTATAATAACTTTTCATCTCTTTTCTTTTATTGAGTATCTTTGGCCATTTGCCCTTTATTATAAATTTTATAATCTTCTCCATAAAGGTCTTCTATATCTTTTGTTATATTTACTCCTAAGTTGCTTATAATTTTCATTGTAATTGTCCATGTTATCTTTGTGGGACTTAAATTTTTCTATATAAATAACATTTTTTTTCGGGGTACCTGGCTGGTTCAGTTAGTGGAGTGTGAGACTCTTGGTCTCTGGGTTATAAGTTTGAGATCCATGTTGAGTGTGGAGATTACTTAAAAATAAAAACCTTTAAAAAAAGTAAAATTTTTTCTGAACCATTTGAAAGTGAGTTGTAGACATACCCCTATATTCCTAAATACTTCAGTGGGTATTTCCTAAAAACAAGAACATTCTCTTACATAACCTCAGTACAGGTATCAAAATCAAGAAATTAATACTGATGCTATACTATTATTTAGTTTATAGTTTCTGTCAAATTTCATCAATTGTCCATGCAGAAAAGGAGAAAGAAAACTTTATTCCTCCCCAATCCGTACATAAATCATACTTAGTTGCTATTTCTTTTTAGTCTCCTTTGATCTGGAACAATTCTTCAGTCTTTATCTTTCATGATCTTGTTATTTTTTTGAAGAGTACAGGTGAGTTGTTTCTGATATGTCCTTTAGTTTGCAGTTTTCTGATACATAGTGTCAGACTATGTATTTTTGGCAGAATGCCACATTATATCTTCTTTAGCATCAGAGGCACGGAAACTGTTTAACACAATGCTGGTGACATTAACTTTGATCACTTAAGGCAATGTTTACCAGATTTCTTCACTATAAACCTGAACTATGTTTTTCCTTGTTGTAATTAATATGTATCTTGATTCACTTAAAAAAAAATAGTTACAGGACCATTCAGGGTTTTGTTTTCTTTTTTTTTTTTTTTTTAATTTTTTTTTCAACGTTTTTATTTATTTATGGGACAGACAGAGACAGAGCATGAACGGGGGAGGGGCAGAGAGAGAGGGAGACACAGAATCGGAAACAGGCTCCAGGCTCCGAGCCATCAGCCCAGAGCCCGACGCGGGGCTCGAACTCACGGACCGTGAGATCGTGACCTGGCTGAAGTCGGAAGCTTAACCGACTGCGCCACCCAGGCGCCCCCAGGGTTTTGTTTTCATATTGAGTCGGGTTTTAGTAAAACCTGTGATGGTGCCAGTATCTTCAGGGGATCATTTGATGTTTACAATTATGAATGAGTGAGCAGACAGATGAGTAAAAAGAGGCCAATTTGAGATTTACCCCCCTAGATCTTGACTTTAGAACTCTAAACACTTTTGTTCTTAAGTGGCAAGTTTGCAGTTACTCCTTCTCACCACCAGATGGAAGTGCTAACAGAATTTGTAACTTCAAATGTTCCAAGCCTGATGAAACAATAGAACTGAATTTTATAGTGATATTCATTAAAGCAGGATCCCATCTGTATGACTGGGTAATATTCTTTTGTCTGTACTATACAATATTTCTGCACTATAAATTGTATATCTCATTAAATATATTTATGAGATAATGAACATGATATGTAAAAGGTTTATTTGTTTACAGACAAATTTAACAGGTTTTTTAAAATATCTGTAAGATGGTAGTTGGGAACTAGATAATTAACATGCATTGGAACCTTATCTCTGAATTACCTGGAATCAAGAATAATTTGAATTATTTGGGGTCCCTGATGGACGAGAGTCTATAACAGATCATATTGTGCTGACTTTTCCTAGCATGAACAGGGCTCAGTGAAGATGTTTGAGCACCTAGTTAATTCTAATGGACTCAAAGCTGTCATGGAACATTACGGTCTCATCCCTGAAGAAGATATTTGCTTTATCAAGGAACAAATTACAGGACCACTTGAATCACCAATCAAAGATTCTTTGGTAAGTTTGTTTACAACTTAATTTGAATTGACTGTGTTTTCCATCTAGTCTTTTCTAGTTTCCTTCAGAGCTTTTTTTTTTTTTTTTTTT